TAAAAACAATATTTTTCTATGATTTGATAAAGTGAAACTGTAGGCCATTGTAGGGCATATTTTATGCTAATTTATTACCCTATTCCCATATTTTTTATTCACTTCATTCACAAAGAAATCTGTGGCTTTGCTAGCTTCGGGTCAGTAGAGCCATTTTTCAAAACAGATTTTTCACTGATTTGATATATTGGGATTTATTGACTAATTTTCGGTTAATTAATTACCATATTTTCAAAATTTTTGCTCAACGTTCTCAGAAAAAAAACTAAACGATTTGTTGAAATATGCCTTATTCACTGGGCATTATGTGTTTCGCATTTCTATCAAAACCATATTTGAATAAACGTAACCATCCATTCTCAAAGTGGTCCAGTACTTTTCAACAGGATAAAAAAACGAACTCAAAGTCGGTCGACCACAATATTTATTATAAAAATTTTCAGCGTGTGACTATACTACTCAAGTAGCTACTTTTCTCATTGTGTCTGAAGATGGCCGTAGAGCCGAAACTATAGTCACACGTTGATTATTTTTATATTAAATTTTGTGGTCGACCGACTGTGAGTTCGTTGTTTTCTCCATATTTTAATTTTTAAGTGTTAGTATTGATTGTAGGCTCAGTTACAATCACATTTTCTTATTTTTTGCTGCATATTTCTTGGAAGAAACCTGTGGCTTTATTAGCTTTGGGAGAACTCAGCAGGAAATTTTTGAAAATAATATATTTTGTACCGATTTGTTATATTGGGATTCAAAGGCTAATTTCAGGCTGATTGATTATGCTATTTCAATTTCATTTTTTCAACGTTTAAAAATAACCGAAATGATTTGTCGAATTACGCGTTATTCACTAGACATCTTTCATTTCTAAGAAAATATGCAACAAAAAATTCGAAAATGGGATAGTTATTGAGCCACAATCAAAAATATGATATAATATTGACAGTAATGCATATATATAATGTCTTAGTGAATTTTTTTTTCAAACGTTGAGCAGAAAATTTGAAAAGGGTAATTGATTTATCTTTTGCATCCCACTATATCAAATCGGTAAAAAATATATTCTTTTCAAAAATTGCTCTGCTGAGTTTGCCCGAAGCTCAAAGAAACAGGTTTCTTTTAAAAATGAGATAGCCTATAATCAATAGGTACTATTGCTATGCCTCATAAAATCATCATTCAATTTGATTTTCATAAAAATGCATAAATACCTAGTGAATAACGAACATTTCCACAAAAACGTTGAGCAAAAATTTTGAAAATTGGGTAATTAATTAGCCTAGAATAAGCTATCTAACCCCAATATAGCAAATTGGTAAAAAATCTATGTTTTCAAAAATAGCTCTGCTGAGTTCGCCGGGAGCTAGCAAAGCTACAGATATTCCTATGATATGGAGGAGCAAAATATTCTGGAATGGGATAATAAATTAGCCTAAATGAGCCAAAAATTATGAGATGTGTCTCATGTTCAAATTTGTGAGTGGCTTTGCTAGCTTCTTCAGTATCACTGGAGCAGGTATTTGTTCAAGTTAATTTTGAATTTAGTTGCTTCCATTCCTTTGGTAATGAAAATTTTGAAAGGAATATCAATTGAAGCAGCAAGTGGAAGAAGGAGTTCTGTTACAAATATGAGTTTGTGAGAGAAATAGGTTTAGTAAAGTTAGCTGACATTTTTTGATGGAAACTAGTTTAATAATTTGATTTATGCAATTGTGAGGAATAGTTGTAGGATGATTTTTCATGATTCACAGCATTGTGCTAACATATAATTTTTTGATAGACATCTGGATTTATGCTTACCTACATAACCCCTTCTTCTATTCCAACCTGACCTGACATGTAGACAATGGGCACATATAGCTCCTTTTATTGATTCCTTGATGTTTAATGTAACAGCACCTTCTACCACTGTGTATCTGCTCAGATATGAAGAATTCAAACAAATCCTGAGGGCCAAATTACATATGTACCTTCTATGACTAAACGGTATATTTTCAGAAAATGTTGACCTCTTCTTCCACTTGCCCCTTCAACTGCTTGAATCCATTGCAATAGTATACCTAAAAAACAGTGAATTTTTGATTCTGAATCATTTGGTTGTAGAGTAGAAATAGGTACATTCCTGGAAAAAATAAATGATCAAGAATTATATTTCCTGAAAAGTAAGTCAACTATATTTTTACAAGGTGTCCCAAAAACTCAACGTCATCCTTTCCAGGGCTGATAGTCCAGCTCATATGACCTTAGTAAAATAATGATAGTTTTGAATTTTGTGAAAATCGAAACCTTTGATCAGTATTTCCAGTACAAAACTACATAGTTCATGATTCCAGTTTTGTTATGCAATCTGTAATAACCCTTTGACCTATTGATTATAATCCAAAATTTCAAAATAAAATGAATCCAGAATGAAAAGAATTATGCAATACCAGCCTGAGTGAGCTAATTATTTTCTATTTCATTTATTCACAGGAAACCTCATAAAAAAATATACATGAATATATACATTTATTCACTATATATCCCATAAATCTCAATAACCTTTGAAACAAAGATCTGAAAAGTGTTCTTAAGCTGTTTAATGATCATTTTCCTTACACTTTCAATCTCTTTTCAATAGGTGAATGTTAATTGTAAACATTAAAATAAATCAACTGGTGAATCAGCAAGTTTTTTTTTGTCCATAGGTATTGCACCAATATTTTTATTTTGAATTGTATACAATAGAAGGGTTATTATTACAGGTTGCATAAAAAAATAGAATCAGTTTTGAACTTAGTTTTGTACTTGTGGCACTAAAAATACTGATCAAAGATTTTATTTTCACAGAATTCATAAAAGTGGCAATATCTCCAAAACTTTCAATAATCTACTGAGGTCATATTGTGATAATCTGGTCAGTTCTGAGCTTCAATATCAGCTCTTTGAAGAATGACTTTGAGTTTTGGGAAACCCTGTATAAACCCTCCATTTCTCATTCTGAAGCCAACCTTTCGATGACATGAGTCTGCTAGTGAAACCTTGAGAGAAGCTAACTTGGAATCAGTATCTGAAATGTCTCAGGGATTTCATAGTGCAAAAGTTAAAATTCTACTCATATATACCTTCATACCTAGATGCAGCAATTCTCTTCTTCTCAGCAGTGATATGATATTTCAACTCATAAAAGTGATGCCATCACTTTCTCATCTCATTTTAGTTATTTTCAACTTGATTTTCAATCATCACCAAATATAGCAAACCTAAAACATAAAATAAATGGGTAGGTACATCAGCAGGTAGAGAACACAATAATGAAAAACATTCACTTTCATGATGACCTGTAGGATTGGAACTATACTCAAACTCATTCTCATAGATTCAACTTAAGGTTGAAGGTTTTAATAATATTCACATGAGTACTTAAAATATGTAAAAATAAGAAGTTATAGGAACCCCTAAAATTATAGGAATAGGTATTATATTTTAGTCAAACCTTAGATACTTATAGAGTTCTCTCCTCATATTATCTCATCAATAAATAAAGGTGAACAAAAATCCTTCCAGAAATGGTCACAATCCAACATCTAGACATATTTGGGGCCTTTTTCTGATTTCAATTACTGTGGACTTCTCACATTGTATATTCACTAGGTACCTAGTTCTTAAGGCTCAGCAGAAAACTGAAGCAGTAGTAATTATACTTTCCTTGAGTTTCCATAGTTTCGAATCTGAAAGATGTGGATCTTCTCCTTGATAAATATGTTTTCCTGCATGCAAGGTAGTATTCATGCAAGATACAAGATAAGATCTGTGGATAAGATTCTTCATGATTCCTTTCTTTATATTATAACCATATATTTGCTTATTGCTGATGAAAAACTTCATTTCCACAATTGATTCACAGCTGAGCACATCAAAAAACTGCACAGACCATAAAATAGGAATCACTGCTTTCCGAGCTGCTTTCACTATTTATGTTCCCACGTTTCACACCATCATTATCATGATCAATATGCACAGAATCCCGTATTTCGTCCAGGGCTGTAAGGGCCAGTATGCCAGTAAGGGGGCTCGGTCTCTATGTATTTGTCATATCTCCATCATCTGCGTGAACTATTTTTGAATTGTTGAGTGACTGAGTGACCGTGTCCCGTGAATGTCCGAATGTCGTGACTGAACTCAACTCACTAAAACTAAACAAACTATGCCATCGGCCGAGACTGCCGAGAGCACCGCTGAGAGGGAGCGAGGCTCAACTCATTAACGATTTTTAAGGTTATGTAGGTTTGACAGGAAAACAATTGAACTGAGTGTTTCCTCGAGTTGACCGTATGGCGGTACTACTGTATCGGCCACAGAACGCTGTAGGTGATTTCCCCTGTTTGGGCAGACCAGATACTCCAGCTCACTAGATTTTTTCTCCATATTTAGCAGACAATGGTTTTAAGTATTTTCGGATAGATAGCAGCATAATATGATGATTCCAAAGGTTGGTAGAAGTGATGATTATTTCCCTTCTTAAATTCTAATAACCTTGGATAATTCCTAATAATTCTACCTCACCAACCTTGCATGTGAATATGGTGAATGCAAGCTGAATGCACATTCACGGGACTACGGGACACGAGCTGAATGCCGAATCCCGGAGCTGAGTGCCGAATCCCGGAGCTGAGTGCCGAATCCCGGAACCGAATCTGGACCACAGAATTCATAATCTTTGATTCTTTGAATAAATATTCCAAGGCTTCTATGGTTTTATGTTTTATGTACAACATTTATGTTCTATGCCTTTGAAAATCAAATGTCAATGTAATTTCAATTTCAAAGTCAAACTAGTCAAGTCAAAGTCAAATACTTTTGTTTGAAAGATGTAAGATGTTTGTAATGTCAAAAATCAAAATTGGGTTTTAATAAAAATTAAATAATTGAATGTGAATGTGGATCAAAGATTGGATATTTAGGAAACATTACGAATAAATATACATTCATTAGTGATATTATGTAAATCAAATGCTTACGGCTGGTTTAAAATGATGGCAGACCCAGTCACATGTCAAGATCAACAAGAGGCTACCACTTCCACTGTGACTGTGCTGGAGACTGACGAACAACAGGTATGAGAATATTATGTGAAACACAGTTTGTACATTGGTATTTTAGTCAGCATGTATCGCCTTAGCAGGTGTTCTTTATTACTTTCTGATAGCCGAAAAATTGGTTTACAATGCAGAAATTTCTTAGCAACTGATAATAATGTGGAAAATTCCCCTCTGAATGGTATTAGAATTCTTGATTTGACTCGAATCGTAGCAGGACCTTATTGTACTATGGTTTTGAGTGATTTGGGTGCTGAAGTTATCAAAGTTGAACGTCCTGGTACTGGAGATGAGTCCAGGAAATGGGGACCACCATTCATAGGAAATACTTCTGAGTCCTGTTATTTTGTTGCTGTGAATCGTAACAAAAAAAGTATATGTGTGAATTTGAAGTCCCCAAAAGGTAGAGATATACTGTATAAACTAGCTAAGAAATCAGATGTTCTTGTTGAAAACTATGTTCCTGGAAAGTTAGATGAACTGCAGTTAGGTTATGAGGACTTCAATAAAGTTGCACCTCATCTGATCTACTGTTCAATTACTGGATATGGTTCAAAGGGGCCATACAAACATAAGCCTGGATATGATGTGATAGCAGCATCTGTTGGTGGGTTATTGCATATAACTGGACCAAGTGGAGGGGAACCAGTAAAAGTTGGAGTGGCTGTTACAGACTTAGCTACTGGTGGGTAGTTGGATTTTTATTAAATAAGGAAGCTGATATTATGAATATATTTTTTTCACCACTAGCCCTAGAACCCACCATTATCTCCACCATTATACTGCTTTTCAAGTTGTGAACTGGTATTTCACTACCAAGGTACTATTTATTTTATCAACTAGGAAGTAGTTCATAGAACATACCCACTTATTACGAATCTGAATTCAAATTGCAATGTGATATGTAGAAGAAGATAATTGTTTCAAAAAGGATAAACTTATCATAAATCAATTTCCTTCCTCAAAACCCTTGTCTAAACCTTTTCAATGGGATGAATATTCAGGGAAAATCCTGGTAAAAATAGAGACAACAGATTCCTAACCTAATACTGCAATCAGCTGCCTGAGTAGCTGAGATCACAGACTGGTTGAAACTGCTAAAGTTGGCTGCCATATCTGGCTACAAATCCTGATTGATCAGTTGAAATGGAGAGGAAGAGTAAAACTGACAGTGTTAAGAAAATGAGACTTGTTCTGGTTTAAAAAAAAATATTGAATGTGGAAAATTTCAGACACAAAAATATGATGGTGTTTCAAAATAATTCTTTATTTTTCTTTAACTTCAATGAGTGAAAAATGTTGCCAGTAGTGGAAAAAATTATAAAACACATTTGTATTAAAGAATATTATTACCACTGAAGCCTTGGAAAATAATCTTGATCCCTAAGTAATAATAATATTCCTTGTGACCATGGTATACATGGTGTTTCAAAATTCAGTATCAAGATTTCAGAAAAAGTTTATAAACAGAACAAAACAATCATTTTATATTTCGAAATTTAACAGTGGCATACCACAAACAAGTTTATGGAATGAAAAAGGGCTTGACCCCTGAAAAAATATCTCCCTGTAGATGCTTACAATTACTGTATGATGTGAACCCTAAAACATAACATATATTTCAAATTTGGAGGGCAATCCATTAACCATAGATTCCTTGAACAAAAACAATATGAGTTTCTAAATACCATTTTTCAATTTAGGCCTTCATACTCGATATACAGGGTGTCAAAGTTGGAAATTAAAAACTGTTTTTTTTTAATAACTCGCGTATTTGATGAGATATCAATCTCAAAGTTTGTACATTACTTCAGCACAAAGAGTTACACCGTGTGAGGAAAACAAAACAAGAAATAATTGTCAACTATTCCAAATACTAGGGGTCAAGTCGAGGGGTAAACCGCGGTGGAAATCTAGTGTACAAGCAACTGGAATTCCTTGGAATTCCTCGGAATTCCTTGGATTTCCTTGGAATTCCTTGGATTTCCTTGGAATTCCTTGGATTTCCTTGGAATTCCTTGGAATTCCTGTGAATTCCTTGGAATTCATCCATATTTTTATCTCAACGCATGCTCAGGCATTCCCTGGATTTTATTGGAATTCCTTGGAATTCCATGGATTTCTTTGGAATTCCTTGGAATACCTTGGATTTCCTTGGAATTCCTTGGAATTATTTGGAATTCCTTGGAATTCTTTGAAATTCCTTGGAATTCCTTGGAATTCCAAAGAATTCCTTGGAATTCCTTGAAATTCTTTGGAATTCCTTGGAATTCCTTTGAAAACTGCATCCTCTTTTAGAAGAGAATGTATGTGATGGCAGCTCCCGATATTTTTGTAGAACACAATTGGACCTCGCGCGAGAACTTGTGGTAGATATGAAGAATGATGTCATCAACGGGCATTCGGGCACAGGTTCGTACATGTTAAAGAAATTAGTTCGCCTGCAGTTTTCGTAGGGTTAGTTGGGTGCATTTAATCTAGAACTTATTCATCAGTTGACTAAAAGAGTGGAAGTATTCAGTGACGGTAAGTCTGTTTCAAATGCAAATAGCACTGCTCTAAGTGCTTCAGAATGGATATGATCCTTATCTATTCCTTTCCATTGAATTGATTATCAATCCTTGAATGTTCAACATCAATCATGTTTCGTAGGTCTGTAAAGGACGAGGTAAAGGGTGAGCTCGGGTGGACGTCATGTCATCGAATTCTCTCGACGAAGATCTAACATGAGGCAGAGTCGAGGGCAGAGTGTTTGCTCAACATTAAAATTCCAAATGAGTTGAAGAACATTTTGATTATTAACGGGTATAATTTCTTGCGAGTGATTGGAGAAATTACTGATGATGATATCGCGAGATAATCTTCCGGATATGATTGCCAAAGATGAGCACAAATTTTTTTTCGGATTTTTCAGTAATTGTCCACAAAAATTTTCTATTTTGAGTGGTCATAAAAAATTTTTGAGAATACTAAGAAACTATTATCAAACTAAATTTTCTGATAATGTTGTGAACTCGAGTGGAAACCACATTCAAGACAATTCGGAGAAACCTGGTCAAGCTGATGCGATTTCTGAATCAGAATCTTCGACAACAATTTCTCAGCAGAGATTACCTCCTGGATCACTCATGAAAAGAAAGTTGACGAATCTTACAGAAGAAAATACGACCATACAAAAAACGATTACATCATGGATTAAATCTACGTGTGGTGAGAAACGATGGGATCATTACAAAAACCTCTGCAATGAAATTAAAGTAACCTGTGAAATTAAGGACCACGACTTGAGGTGCACGGTTACATGCTTTTGTAAAAACAAGTTGACTCTTTGTCAGAATGCAAATATAGAGATTTCAAGAAAGACCTATAGTTTCAGATACCTATATTCATCCTTATTTCATTTTGGTAGAAATGCTGCTAGGTTATCTGAATTAGTTGTGATAGAAGAATTATTTTTATTTACCTCATAGACAGAAGAGTTGCCTTGTTTTTTATTATTAAATGTTTGATTTTTTAATCCAGTATTTCATTTTTTTTCAAGTGTGATAGTGAATTTCCTTAATTAATTATTAGGTATTCATTAGAATGCCCTAGAAAATCTTGAATTTTCTTGAAGTTCTTTGGAATTTCTTGACATTCTTTGGAATCCCTTGGAATTCTTTGGAATTCCTTGGAATTCCTTGGATTTCCTTGGAATTCCTTGGATTTCCTTGGATTTCCTTGGAATTCCTTGGATTTCCATGGAATTCCTTGGATTTCCTTGGATTTCCTTGGAATTCCTTGGATTTTCTTGGAATTCCTTGGAATTCCATGGAATTCCTTGCGAAAATGAAGTTTGGTGTACAAATTTTCGACCGCGGTTTACCCCTCGGGTCAAGTACACACTTACCCCCATATTTATTTGTACGTGCGTTAATGACTTCCTATCTATTTTTCTTCAAGTGTTCAATCATTTTTGAGTATTTTTTGTCTCTTGTGAAATTTCGATACATTTTTTTTTCAAGATAATTCGTACTGGTTATTGTTTGATGCCTATGCGTCTTATGGTAATCTCATAATGTTCACATACTCCTATTTATGTCGTCGAAATTGGAAGAGGGTGTAACTTTTTACGTACGAGAAGGTAAATATGGAAATACCGGGTGCTCAGAGCGAATGTATTAGAATAATTTTTCCAAAAAAAAATTGATAGAAATTCAACATGTCTAAATGAATTGCTCGATATGACCTCCAACTTTTTGAATACACATGCGAGCCCTTTTAATTGAAGAAAATCTTATTTTTTCAAAATTGGTTTGAGCGGTTTTGGGGGAAGCGGAATTTTTTAAAAATAATCTCGAGCCCCCCCCCCGTATGGTATGTCGGGCGCGAGCGACAGGAAAATAAAAAAACATATTTTCGGAAATGTTAGGTGAAATTATGATATCCATGATTTTGATAGCTACTTGATGAAAGAAATAGCAGATCAGGATTGTCTGGGGATGTATGAAAGATTTTGTGTATAAGCCACATATTTTCCAAAGGCTAAGATTTTCTTTTTGAAAGGGCTCGCATGTGTATTCAAAAAATTAGAGGTCATATCGAGCAAATTATTTACACGTGTTGAATTTCTATCAATTATTTTATTATTATTATTTCAATACATTCGCTCTGAGCACCCGGTATTTCCATATTAACTTTATCGTACGTAAAAAGTAACGCCCTCTTCCAATTTCGACGAAATGAATAGGAGTATGTGAACATTATGAGATTACCGCAAGCCGCATAGGCATCCAACAATAACCAGTACTTTTCGGATTATCTTAAAAACAAATAATTTTATCGAAATTTTACAAGAGACAAAAAATACTCAAAAATGATAGAACACTTGAAGAAAAATAGATAGGTAGTAATTAATTTTGTTTTGTTTTCCTCACACGATGTAACTCTTTGTGCTGAAGTAATGTACCAATTTTGAGATTAATCTTATTTACGCGAGTAATTAGAAAAAAACTGTTTTTAATTTCCAACTTTGACACCCTGTATATCGAATATGAAGGGCTTAAATGAAAAATGGTTTCTAGAAACTCATATTGTTTTTGTTTAAGGAATATATGGTTAATGGATCGACCTCGTTTTAGCGAAGTCCCTGTAGATATCTCGAAAACTAAAAGAGCTGTAAAGAAGAATGACAAAAATCTTACTAACTAACTGAGCGTTCACGGACACATATTTCTAGGAAAAAAGTCCTACGTTGATTTGAATAATGAGTCAATGAAATCTTGATTTTGAATTTGGAAACACCCTGTATATCTCTCAGTATATCTAGATGACGTGTGATAAATAATTTCAGTCAATCAGGAGGAGCAATTTTGTCATGAAATCCTTCACCGTCTCAAAAAGTTATGAGCGTGTGGAAATTATTATTTTTTTATCTAGGGCGAGAAATGCTACTTTGGTCTAGAACTGATTTTCGCGCACAAGTTGCAAACAGAATGTTTTATACCAACGTGGAAAAATATAGTTCTGAAGTAGTAATATGCTTAGCTTAATATTAAAAATAGTGTTGAACTGGCTTAAAAGGCCTCTCCCTATTCTCCCTAGGTATGCATGATGTTCCACATACAATATAGGAATTTTCTTTCATGTGGTCCAAGAGATAAAAAAAAATATTGTTATTGTTAAAACATTTTGAAATAAATGATTTCTTGGATGTTTGCTCTGTTGAGGACCATAAAGTTAAAATATAAAATCTCATATAGTTTACATACAATGCGCAAAGTATTTACTTTGCACATCGTTTCAATTCGCCCACTGCTTAGCACATTATGGGGGAGTCCACTGATTTTTTAAAATCACATTATCGTGAACTCTATACTGAAAAACTACCAGCGAATTAATTTTGAATTTTGTCATTCATGCTAAGACGATGAAAATAATAAATTAGAATATGTCCATTTCAAAACACACAATTCATGCGCCATTTGAAATTTAGTCAATTCATTGGTGTGACTGGTGCGACGTCTTATTCCCAACACGCCTATTGTCCTTGAACTGACCAATCACACTGCAACACTGCAGAATGACGAGGTATCAGAGAGAGATAGCTACAGTTCGGGACTAATAAGTCACGACTCTACCATCATATTTGGCTGTTTGAAATATCGAATGAAATATGCTGATTTCAAAACGATATAGATTCGATTCCCTTCAACTTTTACGTTTGATGTATAATCAATATTATGAGTATGTGAACATTACGTTTGATGTATAATCAATATTATGAGTTAATCATGATTCGTCGATTGAAAGAGGTTTGCACGGATTTCTTCTCTCAGTGGTCTTCCCCATTGGTGAACCTTGTCATTTTTTCATAGTTGTAGAAAAAGCAACTTTTTTACAGGATCACGTGATTTTTACTTTTCCACATGATTTAATCGGGGGGGGGGGGGGTAATACCACAAGAGCTCAGATCTAGCCGGATATTTTTTGTGGTTGTTTATTGTTTTCGAATACATACTGTCATTGGCAATTTAACGTAGCTGTTCTGAAAAAATCACGAGAGCGTACATTTTTTTCACCACGTTTCATAATCTTCCCCATTATGTTTCCTCATATTGAAGCCCCAGTTCATCAATATTCCTGTCACATTTTTCACTAACTGTTTGGTTTCCAAGGTTCTTGTTTACAAAATTCGCTAAATTATCTGGAGTTGATATTTCAATCTCCTTCATCATTTCTGCCTCGTAAATATTTCCACATCTCCACATACTTACTGGAATATCATTTGCTGTTCATTTCTGTTTTTTAAATTTACAATTTTTGTCAAAATGTTGCGACGCGCAACACTTGATAAACGAACAGTTAATGGTAACGTAATTCATTCGATTTTTTTATCCACTTGCATTTATGTTCCTTCGATAAAATCGTGCGGAAAAGTTACTTTACCGCACTATTGCTGGAAATATACTTTGCCGCACGATTTTTGTATTATTGAAAATAAGGATATTTAGGACTAACTTGATGATCTATGTAACTATTCTGTCTTATGTGTCATTTTGTAGCATTATTATGAAATCTTGTCTATTAAAAACCTTTTTTTTTATAAATAATTAGGGATCGACCGATAATCGGCCGATACCGATATTTCAAATACCGATATATCGTTCTATCGGCCGTTAACAAGTTTTCTCTGAAGCTGGTAATATTTATGATGCAAAACGTAGCAGGCTAACTGATAGGGCAGAAAGCTTATTATTTTTGCATCACGACCTACCAAAACTAAATTATCAGTATTACTCAGTTATTTTTGTATTTTAGTAAGGTGAAATAATTTTACCTTACAGTTGCAATCCGCATAGGGTTTTATATTATTAATTTTTAATTACTTGTCAAAGAATTTAGTAGATTTTACGTTACATACTTTTTATTGGTAATAAAGATATATTTTTGATGAAAGTGTATTTTTTTCATTCATTCTTCAAATTGGTTCTTTTTTTCCAATAAAAAAATATATCGGTCTATCTTTTTGATATCGGCCGATACGATAATCGGCCAATGAGGCCGATATCACCGATAGGCCGATATAAATATCGGTATCGGTCGATCCCTATAAATAATAGGGATAAAAACACACGTAGGAAAAATATTGTACCTAACTCTTACGGAAAATGTATTTTCCATCTTGACGGCTTTTCCGATCTCCGCTAGATTGAATCCCCGGCAGTGCGGATAATTTTTATTTATAAAATGCACCATTCACCATGGACGTCTCCTAAGGTCGATGGCCAGCTGGTGTGTAGACACACACCAATAAAGTGCATAATACTACTATCACCTATAATTTTTCTGCAGTTTTATAGTAGTTTTCCTTATAATTATCATCACCAATACCAATTAACGGCAACTTTTTAACGGTATCGGTCAATTTTCACTTGTAATGTGAATTTTATTCTTGTGACAGTTGATCATACAACCCTAATTTCGCCACACGTCTTTCTGTATAAGTTGTTGGTTCTGCTTGAACCAAATAAGCCTGAACAAGCTCAATATTTTCGTTTGTATAAAAAAACAAGGTCATCTACTCTAGTATGTCCAATGTAACCTGCTTCAGTGGATCAAATCATACATAAGTAATAGATCCCAGGTTGTCAAAATCAACAATATTTCATCATCACCAGTCAGGGTCACCTCGGGAGTTCCGCAAGGGTCTCATTTGGGTCCCCTACTCTTCAATCTTTTTATACATGACATTGGTTCATGCTTTGAAAACTCACATCATTCTATATATGCTGATGATCTTAAAATTTTCAAGTCAATATCTACCTTGACAGATAGCCAACTACTTCAACGTGATATAAATAATCTACAGAATTACTGTGTTACCAATTACTTATCCTTGAATGTAAAAAAATGTCATTACATCAGATTTTCCCGACTGCCTATCGAAATCAATTTTCTTTATAATATTGACAACAAGTCATTATCCAAAGTAGAAGTCCTGAAAGACCTAGGTGTGATGATCGATTCAAAACTCACTTTTGAGGCACATATTGAGAAAACAGTGAAAAAAGCTCTCAGAAACCTGGGATTTATTTCAAGAATAACTAAATCATTTAAAAATCCAAAATCGTTGTTAATATTATACAACTCTCTAGTTAGGAGCCACCTCGAGTTCGCATCTATAGTATGGAACCCCTACTATTATAAATACATTGAACGAGTAGAGAGAGTTCAAATGAAGTTTATGAATATACTGTTTTTCAAGTTCAAGAGACCTCAAACTCACTTATCATACGAGAGTCGCTTACAACATTTCAATCTCAGCAAACTTTCCTCTTGGACTCGGAGAATTGTAAGCTACGTTATATTTCTTTTCAAAATTTTCAGCAACAGAGTAGACAGTAGTTTCATAGTCAACAGACTCTCGTTCAATGTACTCACACACGTTACCCGCTCACATAATTTGTTCTACCTACCAAATCATAAGACGAACTATGCAAGAAGTTCACCTCTATACATGGTACAAGATTTATATAACTCATATTTCAGCCATATCGATCTGTTCAATAGCACTTTACATAGAGTCAGAAAAGAATCTGGACAAGTTTTCGATTTGAATTGATTCATGACGGTATCCAAATTTTCAGTCCAATACTTTTTTGGTACTTTTTTGTTTTTCGATTTTTGTATTTTTGTTTATTTTTGGTGATAATTTTTAGGATATTATTTTAGTTTCTCTATATCAACTTGAAAAGTGTACACTCTATCAAATCAGATGTGTAACCCTATAATTGGAGTTTCATTACTCTGTTGGGTAACCTATGTAAATTAAATAAAATAAAAAAATAAAAAATGTCTCACACCACTTACTACAATTATTTGTAAAAAAATCGTTTGCTAAACTCCAGATAGTTTCTCCCTGTGTGAGATGATATTATTAGTCAAACATTTTGGAAATACAAGTCATTCTTGAGGTAAATACCGCTCCATAACAAAATCTTTCCACTTTGATAAAAAACTTATTATTGACTGTTGTCAAGAAAATAAAATAATAACAATAATATATACAGGTCTTTATGCTCATGGTGCCATACTAGCTGCTTTGATAAAGAGGTCCAAAACTGGTAGAGGTCAGAAAATCGATTGCAACCTCCTCTCAACCCAAGTGGCCAGTCTGATAAACATCGGCTCCAACTACTTGAATGCCGGGATCGAAGCTAAGAGATGGGGCACAGCTCACGGAAGCATCGTTCCATATGAATCATTTCCTACCAAAGATGGATATTTCACTCTGGGGACTGGTTCCGATTTGCAGTATAAAGAATTCTGCGAGAAAATAGGCCATCCAGAGCTTGCAGAAGACAAAAAATACTCCACTAATAAACTTAGAGTGAAACACAGAGATGAACTGTTATCGTTTCTAAGGTCTGTCTTCATTACAAAATCCAACCAAGAGTGGAGCAAGATATTTGATGGTTGTTCGTTCCCTTGTGGTCCAGTTAATACGTTGACAGAGACATTCAATGATCCACACATTAGAGATATTGGTTTGGTGGAAAGTGTTGAACACCCTGTGGCAGGAAAAGTAAAGATTGTTGGGCCTCCTGTGGTCTACAGTGAAGGAGGGAATTTCGTAAGGAAGCCTTCTCCCACTCTAGGACAACATACGAATGAAATTATGACTGAAATTTTGGGATTTGACAAGAACACTATTGATGGTCTGAAGAAAGAAAACGTTTTGCAATAAATTTAAATAATCGGTTGCATGATGATTCGTTTTTGTTCCTGATTAGTTACCGAAAGCAATGTATTACAGTCACTGCAGAAGATTTTTTTTTCTCCAAGAGGCATAGAAAATGTCTTTTCTATGACACTCAACAGGCAGGAAAGGTGTGATTTCTTTTCTCTGCCTAGACAGGAAAGGAATTGGTAATCAAAATTGACACTCACATTGGGTGAACACAAAATGAGTTTTCATTAGAAAAAATACAAAAAATAGGTTTTATAACATTTGGAGAAAAAAAATATGTTTCACACGGCAGCAAATGTAGATTTACTGCCTTGGCTGGACTATCAGCCTCGGCAGTCAATCTACTACTTTGCTGCCTAGTAAAACAAATAACTATTTCATTCTTCGATTTTTTATTATCAATATCATATTCTTCGTTGGTGCATTGCATTGCTAATTTTATATATATGAAAAGACAAATATCTGAAATGTTGCAGCTTCCATCATTTAGTTTCCACGTTTCCATTATATGATTTATATTTATAATAATCTTATCTATTATCAAATAGAATAAATCTTATCAACATCACTCTACACTGTGTTTTCTTTACATTAGAAATATCAAAAATGTTTATTGAAATTCATTTAGAGCTACATTCAAAAATATTCTCTAGCATTCATAACTAACCTATACCGTTTTTCACTGGATTGGAAATATGCACTCAATGTATATCTATCCTTGATGATAGTTATTTATTATACAAGGGAAAAAAGTAGTCGATTTTAGCTCCAGGTTGTTTGTCTCCCGAGGCGTAGCTGGAAGGTGACTTGCAGTTCTCTCTTGGAGACGGTGTTATTGCCTTATTTTTCGGAACTATAACACAACAAAAGCCATCAACAGTGTATATATATGTGATATAAAACCGGTAAAAAAAGTACTAACTTTTTTCCTGTGGGAAAAAAGTAATTTATGAAAAGTGACATTTTAAAACCTGTCAACAGAGATAAAATCTCAAACTTTTTTCCCGTTACAGAAAAAATTACGTATTATGATGAATATAGAATAAAACATTTGGTGTGAAAAAAGTGCGACGAATGAAATACGGTATTAGAGATTTTTTTCCATAGGGTAATGACATACCTAGAGTTGTCTACTTCCCAATTGTATTGCCTCAGTATGTGTGGATGGATTAAAAGCATATTTCAGAATTCATGTAGATTGCAGCACATTAGTTCTTTTTTGTGAAACCACTCGTGTATTTGACAAATTTTTTGAGTTCGAATTCTTCACTAGTATTTTGAATCATTATTGCTTGGTTTTACATGTTATTCATGAAAGTTTTCTCACTGCATTTCACAAAAAATGATTAGATAGATCGAATTATTCGCACATACATCCAGCTTTGAGGACTTTAATTCTTCCAACACATGTAGATAAATCACCAAATCAAATCAAAAAGGGTAGCCTCCAAGGTACGTTGGATGATGTTTCCCGTTGGTGCCAGAAGGAACAGATGTCTGTCAACCCGAGCAAAACTGTTTCAGTACCCTTTACCATTAAAAAGACCCTAGGTGATCTAACTTCACTTTCCTTCACTGGTGGAAGTAAAATATCTAGATATTAACCTCGATAAGAAACTCAGGTGGAACGCTAACTTGAAGAGATTCTCCATGAAGCTAGAATATCCTTATGGACATGTCTAATGATTTGTGGAAAATCTTGGAACTAATGCCCAAAACAAATCCACTGGATATATGTAATTCGTATTCCAGCAAGTTCACGCCATTGATTTATGTATTTTTTATCGCTTGGAGCGCACAAAAGGGGAACCTTATAATGTTCGAAGACCATCGTGTGCACCTAGGGAGGATAGGGAGAGAGAGTAGGTACTGGATTTTTCTTCAACTTTCGGAGATTATGAGTTCTTGGGTATACTTCCTTAGGCAATGAATTCCAGAGTTTTGCCTTTCTATAGGCAAACGACTTTTGATAGAGTGCTGTTCGAAATATTTCGAAGTTGACGACGAAAGGATGTGCTGACTGGGCACTGGAGATTGAAAGTAAACAATCTACGTCTAAATTCGAATCGAACTGCCAAAAACAATCTGCTCAAAAGGTAGACTCAACAAATTGTTTCTGGCCTGGATCCCTGGCCATTTCGGTATGGTAGGTAATGAATGTACATTGGACCGATTCTGGACGTCCATTGGATGTCCTGAACTTCCATATTCAACGTCAATTGTTCATCCATTGTATGTACATACATACATGTGTTGTGTGGGTATTTTCCAACTCCGTGAGTCAGAGTTTTCATCCCTTATTCCTCGAGCGGAAACCCCTCGAGGTCGCAAACTCTGGTGGACTATCAGGGAATCTTTCTTTACCATCCCACAAAATTTCATTTCTTTCCGACCTTTTGTAATGATACACGGCCGAGGATACGGCAGATGCCCTTGAAAGGGTAAAAATACACTCGGCAAATAAACCGGCCACCAAAAAATTTGCCCAAATTGTTCACACTATAACTTTTTTAATCCTTGTCGGATTTTTGTGAAATTTAGTTCAAATCGTAGATACATGATCCGGAATGTTAGCGTAAATATTAGTTTTCCTGAAAAGCTTATGACTTGATCATTATACAGGGAAAAACCAAAGTTACTATTTCACCTTATACTTATCAACGCCCTGTGGCGAAATTGCGTGATTGAACATGGCTTCATTATGCTTCGGATTGAAGTGTGATCCCTTCTCAACACAAAAGTTTTTGATTCACGTCAATATCTTATTTTTAAAAGAAGATACGAGTGTTTTAAGGAAGTATGGTGTTTTTCAACTTTTTTTACCAATAATCAGAACTTACATGAACTTATTGATTAACAACTTCAAGGATTAATATCACATATTTCTACCTCACTTTCTTAGCACTTACCGGAAAATCAATTACAAAAAACAAACAAGAAGCAGACCTATAGTCAATAACGAGTATGCTCTCCTCGATATTGAATTACAGCATTCAACCGCAGTGGCATCTAATTGATCAAATTACTCAAATAGCCTTGAAGAATTGCCTAAAATCCTCCTTGAAGGGCGAAGGCGAACGAGCCTCTAGAGGTCACCCCTAAGATAGGTTCTGAATTATTGTCATTGAAAATTAAAAAAATCTATACTTTCTTGAAACGCTTGAATCTTCTCTCAAAAAGGAGAAATTGACGTTATTCAAGAACCGTTGTATGAAGAAGGAACAAGAGAGGATCACACTTCAATTTGAAACATGATGAAGCAGAAGGTTGGAGAATGGTTCTGAATTATTGTAAATAAAAATTTAAAAAATCCATACTCTCATGAAAGACTTGTATCTTCCTTTAAAAAGTGGTTATCGACGTAAATAAAAAACTATCATGTAGAGAAGAGATCACTCTTCAATCTAAAACCTAATGAAGCTTTCCTTTCCCACAGGGCGTTAAAAAGTTAAGGGTGAAAAAGTAACTTTCGTTCTTCCTTGTATAATGATCGAGTCATCAGATTTTCTTGGGAACTAATATTCAGGCTAACATTTGGAAACATGAATCTACGATTTGGTCGGAATTTCACCTAAATCGGACAAGAATTGAAAAAGTTACAGAGCAAATAATTTGGTGGCCGGTTTTTTTTGCCGGTGAGTGTACATCCAAAAGTTGAAAAAAAAATTCCAATACCATCTACCTCCTCTCTCTATCCTCCCTAGGTACGCACGATGTTTCATCAACATTATAGGAATTTCCTTTCGTGCGCTTCAATAATGAAATCGATGTGTCAGTGATTCGCCAATGGAGATTCTATGGCAGATATGAAATCTTGCATGTTTACATGTATCAAATGTTTTGTGATGGATTGTTGACCTATTGACTCATTTAATTTCGCCTCTTCCTGGCTCAAAATACTTCTAGTGTCCCTAATATGTAAAATTTTAATATCTCCGGTCCTCATGTCTTGTTTTCGATTTCACTGATTTTTATCAGATTTTTTTTTTGACAATGGGCGAGTGGACTGATAATGAATTATCGGCATTAAATAATTCCACTGTCTCGTTAGGGACCTAAATTAATTTTTGCAACACTTTTTTATGTAAAGAATGAGCGTATGTCTTGTTCGAAATTGTTGAATTTCAGAGCTCATTTCAAACGTACCGTCATGGCCGCCATTTTGGCGATACGTCGAATAAATGGTGACGTCAGTTTTCATGCTGTTTCGTTATTGGTCCGATAATCTTCCATTCCCACTCATGAAGCAAGGTTGCCAAGTCACAAATATAATCAAGTTATCAAAAAGATGTTACGAGTCCTATTGTTGAATAAAACATAATAGGAGGAATCAATGAAATTAAAGTTCATTTTTGACATAACAAAATATTATGTAAATGTTGGAGACTTGACAACATTGTGCTGAATGCTGAGAACTGACAAGACCACGCCCACAATTCGTGCCCCGTGTTGTCACGTTTATCGCTTCAAATGTCCTCGAGTGTGAATTAGTATAATTATCATTTACACAAATTTATTATAAGAAATAAGTCACAACACATGAGGCAATATTTTGAGACAATTGACTTTTTATTGCTTTATCGGAATATCACCACTACATGAATGAGAATTTATGAATTAACGAATAACTAATAACTAATATTTCTGAAGTTCCTGAAGTTTCCTGCTATAGTCTGCCCCTACTTGCGAAATCGTGACGTCAGTTTTTACTCGCGGTAAATTACTAGCCATTTAAAAATGACTCTGAAACTTGAAATCGGCCGAAAAATTCTGAAAATATACGTGATTGAAAGGTATTTGATTGATGATTCTATTTAAGAAATAAAAAAAATAGTCCACTCGCTTAATACAAACAACAAGTACTTAATACAGAGAAGAAGTTTTTTGTCTACATGAAATAGAAGCTGAAAAATAATATTTGGTATTTTTATCAGGCAGTTCCCAGAGTAACATTGAAATTGAGGAAGCCAAGGACTGACAGAAAAGTGCAATGGAGTACAGAAACAGTGGATAATGAGCATATGAATAAAAAGAAATCTAAATGTAAGTTACCTCCTACATGCAATAGATAACAAACTTTCATGAATTTTCATTTATACTTGTCAAATCAAATAATTATGAATTCAGCAATATAATTGACGAAACCAAACCATTATAAAAAAACGAATTGAGTTGATTTATTCATGAACACTACATAACTATTTCCTTGTAGTTCTGGAATTCATATTTCTTCGTCATCGTTCAATAACGACAATATATGGATATAACTATTGGAGTATCGACTTTCTTTTTCAACAATTGGCGAAAAACAATGATTTTCATTTTCTGTTTGTTCTGAAATATTTGTCAGTGGTGTACTTACGAGTGCTATTACCAATGTAATGTGAGCCCTTTTTGCTAATTATTAATATTTTCATTCCCAAATCATCCACAATAAGTTCTTCAAATACTGACCTATTTTGTATTTCACATTCGAATTCGACGACTCACATTCAAGAATATTTTTTTGTTATCATTATGCTATGTCTTATCTTTATAGTATTCAATTTATAAATGTTCAATTGCATTCTAACAGTCAACAATAAAACTATTATTATTATTATTATTATTATTATTATTAAATAATATGATATCTTCAATCGCCATTATCTGGAAAAATATAACAGTTAATTATCGGATACTAAGCGTGTTATAATTTGAATTTTCCTCGGAATTCGAATTACCGCCATTTCCTAGGTTTCAAATCGATATAATTATTTTTCGTAATCCAATACTATTATTTTGATTTAACGGTATTCAGACGACAATTGGAAACTTGATGTTATAAGCCTCCGCCCGTTAAGATTGTTTAACAGCCGGCGGCCGTCAACTGTTTCATAACAACACGTTGGCATGTTGGGATTTTTCTGTAGAATTACGAGGTACATGGTTTGTTCTCTCCTCGATATCATAATGTAATCTTTCTGCGGCATTACGAAAAGTCTTGAACGACATACGACCGATACGGCAAATAACTTGTAACGTTAGTAACTATAATAAAATTTATGGTTTTCACACACACAGTATTGATTGCTGTTACAAATACATTTTTCGTCGACCTCTACAAAAAATCTCATTTTACGTTCTAATTTCCGAACGAAAAACCGACTATTTCCGAAGGCAAATACTTTTCGTCCGCAGACACTAACTTTTCGTCCGCATATACTTTTCATCTGCTGCACGGTTGCCAGTTCTACCGGATTTTCAGTAGATCTCCTGATTTGCATATCGAACTACTGGTCTACTGAAACATTTCATAATCTACTGAAAAATATTTTGACACTTATTCATTATTATAATTACCTATATTATTATTAATCTTTTGAATTAATTTTAAAAAATAAGTAATGAATGTACATATATGTACTAATGATATGTATAAACCAAAAAAGGACGATACTATGTCTGATTCACATCAAATTCAGTTTTTTATATACCTCTGTTATAACAGTTTGTGTCTTACGTGTAATTTTCTTATTTGTTTTGTATTTTTGTTGTTCATCTTTACCATTTGTTTTTTATATACTCAAATCTTATAAGTACCTATGTAACTGTATTTTGTGATATTTGTGAGTATTTTTGAATCGACCATTATTTTTGTACGAGAATGTTTGATTTGTTTGTTTTCATTCCGCTGGAAATAGATAACTCTTCTGTTTACTAAAAGTACATAATGTTTTGACGTCATAGGTTCATTTCATTATCCTTTCCTGGAATTCGTATAGCATAAAATATATCTTAAACAGATCTATGGAAATCTACTGAATTCTCGACAATGTATTCACAAATTGAATGAATATCGAACTGGCAACCCTGGTCAGCGCGGAAAGTGAGTTGACAAAAAACTGTCATTTACTGTTGTCAAATCAATTATTCACGAAATTTTATTTCACGTGTGAATAGGACCGTGATGTGAATATGAGTGTTTGAGGTCGACGAAAAAATGTAATATGCACCTCGGCGAAAAACTGTCTATTGTCTCGCCTGATTGCTAGCCTCGGCTGAGGCCTCGGCTATCAATTTGCAGACTATTATAATAGACAGTGTTTCGTCCTTGGCACATAAATAACTATCTCAGTTCTCATGATATCAAATCGGAATTGTCCTTTAGGTTGCTGTATATTCGATAAACCTCGAGTTTTCGGTGAAAGTTCGGATGAATCAGATGATGAGTGTGACCACTGCCAAGGCCACGTAGAAAAAAAGAATAAACCACCCTCCAGCTCGGACTCTGTCGACGGCGCAGGATCTAGCCCGGTCAAGCCAGATTCAAGTCAAACTGTCACTGTTGATAATTGAAATTCCTTCAAGAATCAAAAGATGTAAGTGCTCGTGTAAATATCTCCTGACACTTGAAACCCTTGGGGTGAGCGATTCAACAGTATTGTGATTCAATATTTATGGTTAGTAGGCTGAGGGCCGGTTGTATAAAGTATTATGTAAGCATCATGTAATGATTAATAAAAATATCAAAATAAAATTTATAACATTGGAAATAGCCGTACTTGAGATGAGGCTGACGTAATAACAAAGGGGCTGACAATCCTCGTTTTTGTTCAAATATGTGTGTTTCTATGGTATAAGTTACCTAAATACATTCAACATAGCGAAGGAATGGCCATTGAATAACATATAATAGTTTTTTTAGCGAAATCTTTTCATACAGGGCGGGTCAAAAATGTGTACCGACCTCTCTGGAGGGGATAGTTCGTTCAACAATAAGTATACTTTGATAGATCAACTCAATATGCATAGGGAAATATATCCTCCCAAAGTTGATAAAATTGAAATAGTTTTTTCGCATAACTTTTGAACGGTGAAAGCCACTAGATTGAAATCATTTGCATAAATGTATGATGGGTGTTCTCATACATTTATGCAGGAAATTTTAATCTGGTAGCTTTTGTCCTTCAAAAGTTATGTGGAAAAATCATTTTAATTGGCTCAAGTTTGGAAGGATATACATTGTGGGCCATTAGTTTATTCATCAAACTATACTTATTTTGTAATGTACCTCCAGAAAGCTCGGTGCATATTTTTTGACTCACCCTGTATACGGCCAACTTTATTAGACCAATTGAGGACATTTTTTTTAAAACGATACTTCCAGTGTCAGCATTTGTCAAAAAAAACAAGTTATGATATGCTATCAAAAGCTTGTTCGTTTGTGCTTGCTCTACCTGCTGAGCTTGATTTTTTTTTATGACTTTCTCTGTTTACATCATGCCATGAACAAAGACAACTATGGGAAAAAATCAACTTTAAGCAAGTTCAGCAATATGAACAGGCCTCAAGTGAGACTCTTTGCTTTGAGTTATTTTGACATTCTAATTGCACTTGTATTGTTACCTGAAAAATGATTTTATGACATGAATTCAATTTTTTTAAATGAGTTGTTTTCCTAAATGATTAAAAAATTCAATGATGTCATTTCTTAGGTGATTTGAACTTGAAAACCTTTTATTGAAAACTTATTATAATCATTATTGTTATCATTATTATAAATGTGTAAAAACCATTACTAGTTGTTCTCATTTTTTTTTTCTTCAAATAACTGCTCATAAGAAACTTGGTTTTGTTGTTTATTTTTTAATAAAGTTAACACCTGGAGAGCCAAATTCGGACATAAACGGCACATTTCCAGGACATGTGAGGTTTTATATAGAAACAAAATGGACTTCTGCTATTTCAAACAGCAAATATGACTAGACCATCTGTCGATTTTATAAGAAATCTATTTTTCTATACAGATTCGGCAGTTCGCTACAAAATGGTGCATAGAGCTTTATTTGAGCATTTTGTGACGTGCTGTATTTGAACCACTGTCTTCAATTATATTTGGTCAGATTTCGTTAGGTTTTTTTTTAATCGCTTGGAGCGGACGAAAGGGAATCCCTATAATGTTCAAAGAACATCGTAATAATTGGAAATAATGACAGTTGCATGCATTTGAAGATGAAATACTCGAAATCGGTGAAAATAGTATAATTATATTGCTTAACAAAGAAGTTTCCAATATTTATGTTCAGTTGGGTATCCATATTCCGGGCAATCGGAGTACTCTTGCACTATCTGCGTGAAGTCTTTTGACAGGCACATGTTATAGCACTAACTGTATTGTTGCCATTGTATATCCACCTCCAAAAGTATTGTATGCAATAGTCATTTTCATTTAGATGATATTCTAATGCGAATGCACTAGTCAATACCACAACATAAGATTAGTTCATTTTGACATCTCAAAGTGTCAATATCCATCAAAGGACGGCGTTCGTTATTAAAAATATCTCCTTTTTGTGCAACTTTTTGGTTGAATTCGATGAAAGTCACTTATTTTCTGCTGAAACTCAATTGAAGGGAAAAGTGGAAGAAGAGGTCAAGTAACATTTTTTGAAAATATTCGGTTATGTCATGGAATAAGGTGTGCATAAACTTGCCAGTCAGGATTTGTTTCTATTCTTCATATCTGAGCAGATACACAGTACACACTAGGTGCTATGTTACATTGAACATCAAGGATGAAATGGAAGAAGGAGCTATGTGCCATTGCCTACATGTCAGGAAATGGAAGAAGGGGTTATGTAGGCATAAATCCAGATGTCTATCAAAAAATGATATGATAGCAAAATGCCTAAATCATAAAAAATCAACCTAAAACTATTTCTCACTATTGCATAAATCAAATTAGTAAACAAGCTTCCATGTTCCACTTGCCCCTTCAATTGTCGATTCGCCGCTACTAAACTTGGTCCTCAATATGTAACCAACGATTATCATTCGCCATCTGAATGAAAAGGCCTATTGCCTCTTAGCTCTAAGACCTTGAGAATTACAAATAAATACTATTTCAAGAATATTATTTTTTATATGCTGGTTCGAAATAAACCCCCACCGCTGTAGCTTGTATGAGATGTTCACAAGAAGATGGTGTTTGCACTGATCAACAAAACACGTTCTCTTTGATTATTGTTTTATATTCAATTGTTCAAACAATAATCTTCCCAAAAATATTTCCTTGTCCGAATTCATTTATCAAAAAGTCAACATTAATGTCGTTGGAAAGGGGTGCGTTGCGCGATGCCCAATTCCTACGATGCCCAATTCCCACGATGCCCAATTCTCACGATGCCCAATTCCCACGATGCCCAATTCCTACGATGCCCAATCTCATGTCGACGATTACGAAGATTGCCGAAGAGCGCAACGTTGCCAGGTTATGAGAAAAAATCAGAAAACACGAGATTCCCACCATGCCCACTTCTCATAGATTCCCACGATGCCCAATTCCTACGATGCCCAATTCCCACCATGCCCACTTTCCTTTGATTCCCACCATGCCCACTTTTCATAGATTCCCACGATGCCCAATTCCTACGATGCCCAATTCCCACCATGCCCACCTTCATTATGGTGGAAATCCAAAGAAGGTGGGAATTGGGCATCGTAGGAATTAAGCATCGTAGGAATTGAGCATCGTGGGAATCTATGGAAAGTGGGCATGGTAGGAATCTTGTGTTTTCTGATTTTTTCTCATAACCTGGCAACGTTGTGCTCTTCTGCAATCTTCGTATTCCCACGATGCCCAATTCCCACCATGCCCACCTTTTTCAGATTCCCACCATGCCCACCTTTTATGCATTCCCACGATGCCCAATTCCCACCATGCCCACCTTCATTATGGTGGAAATCCGAAGAAGGTGGGAATTAGGCATCGTAGGAATTGGGCTTCGTGGGAATCTATGGAAAGTGGGCATGATAGGAATCTTGTGTTTTCTGATTTTTTCTCATAACCTGGCAACGTTGCGCTCTTCGGCAATCTTCGTAATCGTCGACATGAGATTGGGCATCGTAGGAATTGGGCATCGTGGGAATTGGGCATCGCGGGATGCTCCCGTTGGAAAGTCTAATGCTTTCCATTAATCAAAATCAAACTCCCTTTACTCAAAGATTCGTATACCGGGTGACACAGGGTATCGGGCCATCCCTGTAACTTCTGCATTCGTCAACGGATTTTTCTGAAATTCGGTATAGTTATATAAGCAATTATTTCGGATTTGATCACATTACAATCCAATATGGCGGACTTCTGGTAATTCTGGAAATGCCAGCAACTTTGTTTTTTCAAATGAAACACCCTGTATATTTTTACATATTCAAGTTCAACAGGTCGAAACAAGTGCAATCTCTGTTTCAAATGTAATTTTTTCGAAAAAATTCAAATTAAAATTGTTTTTTCATTTCACCTCGTGGATGAATGAGATGTGGTCAAGACTATTCACGATGAGTCACACATAACAGAAAAACATATTTTTTTCTGAAAAATCATTTTTTGTGTCACTTATCCAGGAATCCATTCAGCCACATCACTAAAATTGTTGTTGTTGTTGTTCTAAAATTGTTCTATCCGTCATTCGGTTGCCCCCTTACGAGCAACCCTCAGAAGTCTTCGAAAGACTTGTGCGAGCAAGGAATGACGGGGGCCTTACCTTTTAACGTGTGATCCCAAACACTTTCTTAGGCCATCAGAAAAAGTCTGCGTTCGTGGGTCTCGAACCCACGATCGATACCTCGACGTGAATCGATATTGAAGCATCGAAGCACTGAGGTACGCCGGCCTATACTTTTTGATAAAAAATATTTCTTTTTCAAAAGGAACCCCTATGGGCCACCTACCCGTCTCTCTAGAACATACATTAAGGAACAAAATGACATATCATTTTTGTTTTTTAGTGCAGTAACAAATTGTATACATTCAAAAATCAACCACTAGTTTATGAATTTCTTTGCAGTTAGAATAATTTTTCAACTAGGTAGGCTGTGGAATAAATGACATTTAACATCAAGATTGCACTTGTTTTGACCTGTTGAACTTGAATTTGTAAAAATATACAGGGTGTTCCATTTGAAAAAACAAAATTGCTGGCATTTCCAGAAAAACCGGAAGTCCGCCATATTGGATTGTGATGTGATCAAATCCAAAATAGTTGCTTATATAACTGTGCCGAATTTCAGAAAAATCCGATGACGAATGCAGAAGTTACAGGGGTGGCCCGATAACCTGTGTCACCCGGTATATCTCCTATTCGTTATATCGACGGCACTGGATTTGGTTTCAATGAACTATTTTCACACATCTGACGTTGCCAATTGAATTTGTCATATTGAATTTGAAATGTTACTGCAATACAATTGATGAGCATATAGAATCACAATCGAAGCCAAGAAGGAAAAAAGTATGCCATCCACCAAAGAAGACAAAAAAAGCTTGTTGAATGCAATTTATGCCGAGCGTCATATCATTGATAATAAAGAAACTCATGGAGGAAACTATATCGTCTCGAGGCAAAACAGAAATCATTTCATTTCTAGCGAGGTGTCTGGCTTCAATTCTTGAATGACAACCATCTCACATAAGTGTAGATGAAGCTGTGTTAACGATTATCTGACAAAAGCACCTCAATACTACAGCACACCTCATTGTTCTTCAATCAAACGCTTTGGAAATTATTGGATTGTATTTCCACTACTCTCGATTTGTTTTGGGGTAGTGACCCCCCTTCTTATTGTGGACACATTTTCCGTATCTTGAAATGCAATGATCCACGAGAGTTCGATTCGGCCGCGGGGAACAATATCGAACATTGAACGGAAGGCATGCTGCACACGGATGATCGAACGGCTGTTCAAAAAATATTTCTGCACAAAAAATATTTCTGCACAAAAAAATACGTTTCTGATCGGACCACTCCACTTTAGCGACTGAAACCGCGTGGAACATGAAGTCGACAAACGCCTCATTAAAATCTTTATACTTTTAACATTTACGGGGACCGTCAAGCAAGCAAGCAACAGAGCAATCACCTTTCAAAATTCATGAGTTTACATAACAAGAGTTGTAAAACGCATTATATGCACGAAGTGAAGAAAGTTCACATGGAACAGCTTTAGCGGTGAGTGTAAATCTCTCATGTTCAGTAATTAATAAGATGTCAGAATATATTTTGTTAGAGAATACAATGAGTTGATTTCCTTTCATAACTACCAGGAATAGACCCGCTCTCGTAGTCACCGGTTTGTAATAATTTATTAAACATGGAATTAATACACATGTTGATTTGTTTCCTTCAAATATCCATATCGAAAATACATGAGAATACAATATTTACAAGTCTTATCTTTTCTATTCCATTTCCATACCTTAACCCAGTGGGATTCAATCGAGTGATATGGTTAGTTTCTGCAACCAGTGTGAAAAGTGGCAAATTATTTATTTCATATGATGTGAATGTTGCGTAGGATTTAAGAAATGAACCACCGAAACAATATCGTCTGATTATCAATATCATAACTATAACTACTAAAATAAAAGTTCATAATCTATCATGGAAATATAGTTACTTTATTAAATAAATAAATATTCGGAAAAATATTAAATTGTCAATAGCGTGATTACAAACAAAACTGCACAATAAAAAAATATTCCAACAATGAATTGAATAAAACCACTGATATTACCTAAATCGCTTATTAGGTAGACTCTTTCCTTTCCTCAATTCGATGCCTTTTTGAAATGCACTCTGGTCCAATCCCAATTCATTCGCTTTAGCTCTCGATCGCCAAATTTTGATTGTGCAATCATCTGAAGTGGTCACTAGCATTTCGGGATCTTTCGGGTTGAAAGCTACCGAATTCACAACATCGGTATGCGGGTATTTTGCCAAACAGGCTCCGTAATGTCTGTCCCATAAGTAGCCGTGTTTGTCTTCAGCACCACTAAAAAATCAATCTGAATAGCGTTTTACGAATATGATTCATGAATGTCATACGACGAAATATCGTTTCACGATTGTCTAACATTTTCATCATTTTTCATTTCGTTGAGATACAAAGACGAATGTGACCTGAACCTCATTCAAATGGAGTGGAAATGTTGTAAATTAATACCTATATAGTGTAGCCAATGGTGGAGAATTTATTTTGAATGCATTTTTTGTTCCTGAAATGTATGTTAATGATTTAAACCTAATAAATTTCAATGAAGTATTAAAATTATATTTTTTTTCAATCATCTTTGTATAATAATGACGATTGAATACATTGATAACTCCCCCTCAAACAAATATATTAAAGTGACAGAGAGGTTTCATCATACTCTGTTGTGTGATGAGCATTTCTTCGTTTCACTCAAAATCCAGTTATTGCACAAACACTATTAACACTAACATTACTCTTAGCTAACAATTATTATGTCACAATAAACATACCACTTTTTTGCTACCAGTATTATAATAAATAATAATTCTTGACAAAGAATATCATAAATATAGCTTGAAAAAGAGCTAAATCAAATTATTCATGACCGTATCTGTTTGTTATGTCATCCATATAGAGATCATATAACATATCAATTATTTTAATCATTCATTCACTCAAACAAGGATCAGCTCAAACTCTGAGAATAACTAGTATAATTATTTTACTAATACATTATGGTTTATTTTTTAATGTTTCCTGTTATAAACATATACGTCAATTGTTTCTTGGGAATAATAAAGATGATGATGATGATGATTTCCGATAATGACGCATGCATCAATCAGTCATTATATTTGAAATCACTAATAACAAAAATCAAGTTTGAAACTCGAAATATCATTCTGCATGTTAATGATTGACATCGAATTATTGAAGATCTAGAAGATCAGAAAATGTCTTAAGCAGAAAATTTTATAATTTTTGTAACAAATGAGCCATTGTTGGATTCCTTTATGACTTAAATTCAATTGGGATGAATTCAGTTGTGAATAATATGAACAGTATAGTGAATCTGTTGAACATTTTTTGTTTTGAATTCTCCAAGGCCCACCCCTCAGTTCAGAACTGCTCTTCTGATGAGGAAATATTAATTATATTCTAAATTCACTCACTTTTTGTTCCCTGTATATTTTCGCAGTGAAAATGTATCTCTTGACTCAAGAAGATAAGGATATTTTAATCATTGTTTCTTTTGTCAAAATAAAGAGTTTCAGGAAATGGTACTTAAAAACGTGTTTACGATCGCAGGAGAGGGAATTCCTATTATGTTCGTGAAACAGTGTTTACCCAGTAAGGTTAGGGGAAGATGGTAGGTATAGGAATTTTTGAAGGTTATAAGTTATTGGGAATACTTCCCGAGGCAAAGACTTCCCGGTACTTACGGAGCAAGTGTTTTTTTCTTGTGCTAAATGTCAAGCCAAATTGTTGTCTGATGAAATTCGTTGACAATGCAGGTTCTCTATAATATCACTTACCTAGCAACATATTCGTTTCCTACGTCCAAAAAAATGAAAAAGCATTCGTTGTTCGGCGAGAATGCTTTGTGCGATTTCAGCATAGTCCCAACCTGTTCCATCGTTACCAAATCTATCACATGTATATCGATTTCTTGTGCTATGGGAGGTGGATCCAAGGGATTGCTGATCACATAGTTTTCGGGCCACGATCTACTATTCACATATAAATATCTAGAAATAACTTATTTTAATATGGAAAAAGATATTGCCAGCTGAATGAGGGCTAACATGTTTTGATGGGCCACCAGATCGCATTACTGAGACTTTTACTTTGGGATCTTCAAGATCTTCTTCTCTTTCGATATAAAAGGTGCGCAGAGGGTTTCACAATAGAACCTTGGCAGAAATATTATATGGTGTGCTAAGACGCATCTCTGTTGACTTAACTGCGAGTAAAATAGTGGCCAGAAAGCTCGTGGCCATCAACTATCAATAATGGCGAGAATATAAAAATACGCAATGACGTTATGCGCAGAAAATACGATAATTGTGGATAAGTGGGTAGCACACCATCTATACATCCGCCATTATCGAATGCAAAAATCCCACGCCTAATCATAACTAGAGTGTTGTATTTGTTTACATAAGACACTCCGGTTTCTGCAAATTTCCGGAATAGATGCCTGTAGGGCTATCCAGCAAAATCTGGAAAATTTTGACATTGACATAGACCTCGAGCCCCAGTAGCGCCAACTGATGAAACTTTCTTCAAAAGGATCACTTTTGTTGTCCATTGAATAGAAAATGCCTACCTATGGTCAGGACTAAGTCCCATTCCAACGATGTGTCCGTGAAGATCAATCAAATGGTCGATTTTATCAAATTTTTCCGACACCTGATCGAAATCCAACCAATCAGGATCGGGAGGAGGACTACCAGATTTCATCTGCTCTTTTCTTTGTTCAAACAGTATTAGCCTCTCTTTCAAACTAGGTCCGAGATCCATCGTTTTGGGAAAGACAAATGGCTTTATCCTCTTGAAGCCTATTTGGTGAGGAGTATATGTTTTGAAGCCAGTCGTGAAAATCAAGTATTTATCGGTTGTAACATACCTGGAAAATCATTATTTCATAACCAGAACCAAATGAGAACAAAAAACTGACAATTACTTTTCTTTCATGGCACCTGAATTTCGCCTGCTACACAGTAGATTTGCAGCGAAATGAAATATGTTTTCTCTCGGACGTTTTCGAAAAATTAAAACTGGATTCTAAACTTCTCGTCAGGATCATGCATTACAAACATGTAAAAATAGTTCATAATCACTTAATTTTGAGATTTGTTTGGACGGTACGGTAGAATCATTGAAATCTGCTTTATTCATTTACCCAAGCTGGTTGCTATTCTCCTCTTACCTATCAGAGTCGGCTTCACATGATGTTTCGGAATTATTATCCTCTGAATCCTCTAACATGTGCATTTCTTCGATACGTTCGTTTGCTGAATTTGTTTCAAATTCAACTTTCCTATATTGTGCATTGTACCAAATTGGATAAGGAAAGTCGATCTCCATCGTTTCAAACATTTCATTGCAGAGATCTAAACATGGTAAATTGTATCATCGCAAGTGAAACTGATTTTATACAGGGTGTCCCAAAACTCAACGTCATCTGGGCTGATAGTCCAGCTCATGACTTACCAGAATATCAACAATATGATCTAGGTAAAATATTGATTGGCACTTTTATGAATTTCGCGAAAATCGAAACCTTTGATCAGTATCCCGAGTGCCGCAGTTCATAGTTTATGACTCTAATTTTTGCTCGAATTTTTGTTATGCAACCTGTACTAACAATTGATTACAATGCAAAATGAAATAACTCATGAATCGGGCAAACTTTTTTTTTCTCCACAGGTATCGCAGCCTCATTTTCATTTTGGATTGTCTATACTAATATTATAAAGAGGAATTTGATTGTTTTTTTGTTCGTATTGAATAGGCTCCGAAACTACTGGACAGATTCGAAAAATTATTTTACCATTAGAAGCCGACATTATCCCTGATGAACATGGGCTACTTTTTAACACGGGAAAATGCTTCATTCTTACGGAAAACGGGTGATAACTATCAGTATATGTTGCCTTCTAACCTACTATAAGGAGGATAACAAGAAAACGGGAACAACATACATTATACATCAATATTATGTACGGATGAACAGCAAAATTCCGAAATTATATTTTATTATATAACCTAAAAAATATCAGCTGAATGTTACACATATACGTATTATTAAACAATACGGATCATAACGGGTGCCAGGATGAAGCCAAAAATATGAAACAAATGAATATCCATAAGGATTTGGTGGCATGATACGCATGCGCCATGCGCTATTATAGTAGTCATCAAAGACATGCGTTTCGGTGGACAATGACGTTTACTAGCCTTTCAATCAAAGCAGTATGTGTCTGATCGTTTCAAAACTGTTCCTTATGGATAGTCATTTGTCTTCAAAAATCGGCTTCATGTTTCGCTATGGAAACAGATAGAGATTATCCGTATTGATTATTAATACGTATATGATGTTACAACTCTCAAAATGAATCACATCGTTTCATTTGTCGTCAATTCTACTGCTACCAGTGGGAAACCAAAAAAACGCACCTACTGATCAAAGATTTCAATTTTCATGAAATGAAACGATCAATTTTTTACTAACGCCATATTGTGGTATTCTGGTCAGTCGTGAGCTGGGCTATCAGCTCTTCAAATGATGACCTTGAGTTTTTGGGACACCCTGTTGCATATTATCAAATACACGTACCTACTCTCATGTCACATGGTAACCACCTAAGATCGTTATGACTAACAGGATTTCCATGCTGCGAAGAGCTTCCCTGACCCTGACTGGGCTCTCCCACCTCGCGTTCTACAACCCTGTTGACATTCTCGGAATTCGGTAGACAATTAGCAATCATAATCGCCCTTATGGAACTTGCGTGGCGATTGTAGAATCTGTACAAGCAATGCGTGATAGGGACTAGTTCGGATTCTGCTTCTTGGGAAGCCTTATTTAGCCACAAATATGAACTGCTGACTAGATGAGCGAGCCAATGGATGTCCCCAGAAAGCAGGTATTGGTCACTGTACCAGGTTCCGAAAATGTCATAAGGTTTGTTGACGACTCTGCACTGAAGTTCGAATCCATCTAAGAAAATACATGGATTGCAAATCGATACTTAACAGTTGCAAAGGAAAAAGAAGGGGAGCATCAGCAAAATGTACAGGAGATATGTTTAGAGGAAACTCCCGAAATGAAAAGTAATCGGATAGTGAAAAATAGAAAATGAAAGAAATTAATGCCCCTTATCCTTTTCTTATCTCTTCAAGTGCACGAAAGGAAATTCCTATAATGGTCGTGGAACCTATTGGAAGGATAGAGAGAAGAGGTAGGTGTTGGAATTTTTTTTTAAATTTTGGATGTTAAGTATATTACTTCTTGAGAAGGTTCGTCGTTCTATAGACCAGAATAATGCATATTTTGTGAAAATATAAATTTGAACCTGGATTTTCTACTAATCAGAGCCCTTGGACGCAACAGTCTGAGCTTGCATTTGTAAACCATCAAAATTTTATACAGTGTGCCGGAAAGGTCATGTCGTAAATGATAGGGCCATAGTGAGCCAAAAATAATGTCAGTATTTCATATAAAAAAAGACTCGTGGTGTTATTGACCTTGAAAGTTTGACTAAAAAAATTGTTATAATAGGCAGCAAAGTACTAGATTGACTGTCGCGGCTGATAGTACATAGCCGATCATAGCGAGATCCGTATTTGTTCATCAGTTTATTGCATAATTTCATTATAACAATTTGAATTGTCAAATAATTGAACTAAATTCAATGGTTATACTGTTTGTAAAAAAATGGCAGTCTGTGTCTTATACCAGTGCTAATGTATTATAAAAAACATTAAAACTGTATATAATTGATTCTTTCCACATGTCAAAATGTGATGTTTTTGTTGTTTCAACCAATAGCCCGTTATTCTAGCCAATCATTTGGTATTATACTGATAACACTGCATGGTCGTCGATAATTTACATTGAACTGTCAAAACAAAATAATAAATAAGAGATAGGTATGTGTGATGATTGAATCAATAATAATTATCACTGGACTGAATGAAAACTATCCCTCTCATGTACAATAACCTTCCTAGGTTATAATAAATTCAAAACTAGTTGGAACTCACCTTCATTAATAATTCTCTTCCTATTCTTATATTAACAAACTGAATTAGGTAAAACCGCAGGTCCTAGACACTCCTGATTTTATCAATATAGGTTTGTTTTCATATTTTTGAGGAATAAAAAATTTTTCATATAACATTTAAAAAATTATGATATTTGAAGGACTCCTGGTATTACCTTTGATAATACCTTACCTAAGTTGAATACTGCAATTTCCCCAGAAGTACTATGAGTGGTACCAAAATGGACACCAGATACTAGTAGCAGTGTATCAGATTCATTGAATTGTGAGTACTGTGTATATTTCCACTTGAAGCTCTTCATGTTCCTGACATATTTGACATTAACTGGATATTTTGAGGTACATAACTAGAAAATGATCATGATGAAAATTGTTTGCCTTAAGAATAAGTATTCATTAGTTACTCACAAGGACATATCCATCTTTAGAACAAGTTGCAAAATATTTTCCATTGTGTGAGAAGCTCACATGTAAAACTTGATCATCATGATCTACTATTGTCTCTGTCTGAACCACTGGTATATGATAGCACAATCTTTTGAATTCATTGTACCAAGTCCTACCTATTTATATTCAAAAGTAAAATCTTGACCTACACTATTATAAACAGTTTATCTTACCAGAAAGAACTGGAATAGTTGGGTCGACCAAAAAATGTTTGAAGAATAATTCTTTCCATAATAGTTCATCCAAGCTAACTTCATACCAAAATTTACAAACTTGTCCAGCAGAATTCAGTTCCTGGTATGTTAAATGTTGGAAAATCTTGTAGAGAACTGGATAAGGCAAAAAGCACCAATAACTTTCGGCGAATTCGTTCATATTTGTTTAATACTTCAAATCATAACATTTTGAGATTTTGAATTAATCAATAATAGTATTTTCTATTTTGAATAGTCGTCAAATATGTATTTTACAGCTGATATTTCATCATTATCATTATTTTGATTATGTCATGTCAAATTGAAGAAGTAAACAATATCAGCTGATCAAGCAAGAATGTAGTTCACCGTCACCGCAGGCACGTATAGACGATCCTTATAGACCAATCAAATAAAGCGAAAGTTACGCTCGCGTCTGGCGGTTAGGGTCAGTTCCCAATGCAGCGTTTTTGTTGTTGCTATTCTTGTCGCAATGAACTCAATATAAACACCGTCGCGCGTGATGCACGACTCTGATTATAACGCTTAATGAGAACAATAATTGAGAATGGCCGCACGGTTTTTTTTATTATCTTGTGCAGATCATATCATTATTTTTTCTTTAATTATTGCTTCGATTGAAGTTTGCATTGAAAAATCAGGAGAATAACTGAGAATACTGGTAATAAATACTGCAAAGGTGGAGAGTGATTGCGCTAAGTTCACTTCCAACCACCGCCTGTATTGACCTGTTTACAAGGTTCAAATTTACTGCCTTGGCTATATGGCATCTGAGATGTTTATAATTCTAAACATCTCAGCCATATCGTTAGGAATATCTACCATGGATCGCTCAATAATCTAATCTGTGGCTCAATATACAAGCGGCGCACACCCCATAGGTGCACTTTCCTTTCAATCGTTCTGATTGGCCTAATAAACGAATCGCCCACACTTGAATTCTTGCACATTGACGAAACGTCATATCCGACTTCAGAAATTTCAGATTTTCAGACAGAAAAATTCAGATATACAGGGTTGGGCAAAAGTATGGAACCGGGTGAATATCTCGGTAACCGTTTGTTAGATTTTTTTGAATATATGTACAGGGTGAATCCGAAACGTGGTGGATTTGAAAATGTTATCGTCGATGTTGCCACTTTTTCAGTTATTCCGGAATTATTATCAACTTCCTTATTTCAAATAGAACACCCTGTATTTTATTGAATTTTCATATTACCCCTGAAAAGCTGATTTCATCGATTAATCACACTTGGGGTCTAGCAAGAATGATTATACTGAGATATAGGGTGTTCAAAATCGAGATTTGCCGTCCTGCTCGAAAAAACGCGCGTGATTGAAAGACCTTAATATCCACTCCAACTTCAATCACAGACTTCAATATACTGTCCCTATAATAAAATATTGACGGTTTCGAGCATTTTTCGTAAATGACCTGGGTGGGTACCCCCAATTTATTCTGTTTCGTTTTCAAAGGTCACGCAGTGTATACAGGGTGTTTCTTAAGTACGTGTAGAAAATTCAGGAGCATGTTGCTGAAAAATTAGAAGAAAAGTTCGTATGAATATATGTCCGAAAGTTATTCGTTTCTGAGATACAGAGTGTCAAAGTTGAATTCTCGTTTTTGTTTTTTGATAATAAATTTCAAAATAATTGTGATATTCGAATGAAGTTTGGTATCTAGGGGTATTCTTCAATCACAATATCAAATTTTATGTTGGTTTGTCTCTTTCGTAGGGTTGGCGCCACCTACATGTCTTATGAGTCTTATGAAAAGCCATACCTTTTTGTGCGTACCTGTATCACGTGTCATAGTAGGAAAATAGATTTCTAGAACACTTTTGTGTAGAAAATATATTCCTGGTAGAGGTTGCGAGCAACTGGTTTCGAGTTATTATGGGATTTGAGATAATCAATGCAAGTAATTTGGAATGACAAGAAGTTGGAATTTAAAATAGATTTATTAAGTGAGGGAAATTTTCAAAGTGGCCACATTGCATCATTATGCATGCGTCTGCTCGTCGTCTCATAGACCCATGTACACGTTCCATTATACCAGGTGTACTTCGTATGCGTCACAACCAGCAATGATCTAATGACGAAGTTGATCTTCGCTTTCTATTGGCATCGTAAAAACTAAGGCCTTCAAGTGACCTCACAAAAAAATCGATTGGATTTAATTTAATTTGATTTAATATAAAATTTGATATTTTCATTGGAAATTTTATACCCCTTATTGATACCAAACTTTACTCGAATATCACAATCAATTTGAAATCTATCAACAAAAAACAAAAATAAGCATTCAATTTTGACACTCTGTATCTCAGAAAGAAATTACTTTCGGCCATATATTCATACATACTTTTCTTCTTATTTTGACGTCAGCAACATGCTCCTGAATTTTCTACACGTACTTGAGAAACACCCTGCTTATACATCCCAGACAACACAAGTGAATCCATTGGACAACCAATGGATGTCCAGCTATGGATACCCTGGACATCCATTGGATGGACGGCATTGTCCAGTATTTGTCCAATGGACATCCATTGGATAATACATGTCCAACAGTTTGGACATACATTGGAAGTCCATTGGCTTTCCATTAGACATCTGATGGATTTCCATTGGACATCCAATATTTGTCCTTTCCATTGGAAGTCTATTGGATACTCATCAGACATCCAATGGATTCCCAATGAAGATCCATTGTATGTCCATTACATTTGAAATACCATTGTATACACATCAGAACTCTAATGGATGTCTACCAAAAATCCAACTTATGTAAATTCCAATGATAAGTTTATTGGATACTCATCAGGAATACATTGGATTTCCATTGGATATCCAAATTTTGTCCAGCCAGAACGTAGAAATTAAAAAAAAGTTGTCCTTTGAGGGGATTGAACTCCGGACCCCGATCTCGTGGATCACAACGCTAACCTCTGGACCACTGAGCTGTTATAAATATTGTAGCAAGTATTTCGTATTCACGGTATTTCACATCGAGAGAAAATGCAATCTGCTGAAGTTTAGTGCCGCAATAAAGCTTTTACACGGCCCTTATCAAAAGTGTTACAGGGTGATTCATCTTTTTCGAAAGAAACCCGCCGTATAATATTTGCCCATATCGATCTTATTTGCACGGCCTGAATGGTTTAAAATTGAAATTGGATGAAAATCAACTTCAAAATAAGTACCTACCTCTATATAGGTACGTAACCTACAAAAATGATGAGACGTATAAAATCTTGAAAAATAGTACCGAGTGCGAAGTTGTCCGTGATTAATGTTCATATATATATTATTGGTAAAAATATTTCAATTGAAATAGAAGAGTCATAAATGACACATACATACTTTGCGAAACGATTTCCATTGGATAAGTATGATGGATATCCATTGGCTGTAAAAATTTCGTTGTCCATTGTACAACTACAAAATGGATGTCCATTGTATGTACAAATCTCTATGTCCATTGTACATATACACAATGGATGTCCATTGGACATCCATGGACATCCGGCTACCTAATGGATTCAAAATGGACATCCAATGGATGTATGTGTGTTATCTGGGATATAGGTAAGTATAGTAAATATTGATTGAGGAATAAGGTATATATATAAGTACCTAGGTATAGTCTATCCAAAGTCAATTGGAGCATCTCTCGCACCGCGCGGCGAGGCTCGAGACTCTCTGATTGACTTTGGATAAACTATACCTATCGACATTTTCATTATTATTATTATATTATGTACAAAAGTATTCCAACATAGAATAAGAAGCCTCATTAATTTCAGTGACATCCACAACTTTTCACAACCATTTTTTTATACTTTTTAAGAATCACATTTTGATCATCTAGGAAATATAGAACTGAAATGGAACTGAGTTTTGTTGGTGCACAACAGGGTATTGGAAACCTCCAAGGATACATCAGGTGAACCAGTGTCTGGACTATGGCATGATTCGTGGCATTCATATGCGCATTGAGAGGAAAATTGCACTCCCCAGCACAATAGTAGGCGGCATATCCTTCAGGTGCTATGATCCAGTCCTAAAATATAAGAAAAGAACTTGGTTAATAAAAACGTGGAGAAAACAATTAGGGTTTTTCGAGTGTCATTACCTCTGATGGTAGGTATTTAAATATCATATTCGCCAACACATTCAATACAACTTCATATATTCATCATATAGTTGAGGTTAGGAACAATATACTAAAATCACGGTTCAATCTAGTTTTAATGAATGGGCGTGTACACCTTAGTAGAACTTTTAACTCAAACCTTGTTTATAATGATCCTTTTATACATAAAATAATGATTGGCGATATAATTCGATCGAAAAATTAACTGGAATGTTCAATTTTTGAACATAAATAATAGTACCTTCTGAAAACGGACCCTCTTATGACGTAGAAACCTCATCTCGCCATAGTTGAAAGAAAATACCAAACGCCCGACGGAGACTGAGGCAACTGATATATTAATTCTTTCAACTGTGATGTCGCGCTAATTCACTCTATCAGAAATCATGTATCATTCATCACTGTCTGGAATAGTCTTGTTTCAGTATTAGGGTTTTGACGTCACATCATCGTCTCGTTTTCAGAGGTCCGAAAAATCGGGGATTTCAATATTTTTTTATAAAACGTAGGGAGCTCACAGTTTGGGTGAGTTCTATCGAATTATAAAATGAAATTTTTTCTTGATATAAGCCCATTTACAGAGCCGTTTGTATAAAAAGTATTTCCGAGGTATATTTAATTATCTGATTTAATCTCCCTCTATATACTTCTGGTCAAAATCGAACCACTCTTTGAATTAATACCTACCTCTTTAGGAACACTGCTTTCAAACAATTGAAGAACATTCCATTCTCAAAGTTCGTCAAGAAAAGAATATTTCTCAACATCGCATTGGGTTATAATAATGTTTCATATACAGCACACTATAGAATTCTAATATAATTACACCATATCTAGGGAACAATATGGAGATTCTAGAAAATGAAATGCATTCAATGAATTGAAGTTTGAAAATGCACCACGGTCAACATTTGACCGGATATAAATTGTATCGTTTGTTTTTTCAGTTCGTTCTAAAAATGCCACAATCTTATTCGATTTAATGTTTTTTTTATATCTCCCTGAAGCTCATGATGAATTATGACCACCTCTATCACCTTTACAGACAAATGATGTTCATATAATCTCGCTCACCTGCCACTTCAGATCTTTGAAACTTATATACAAAGTTTCAATGTGACAGCTTCTCCTCTGGTCTAATTTGAATTCAGGACTAGCAGCTGAAAAAAACAAGATATAGTCTTGGGAAACTTCGGAACAAACACCATATCCACATAAAGAAATAACAAAATAGTATAGATATATATATAGTCTATCCAGAGTCAGTTGGAGTGCCACTAGCAAAGGAATGTCCGCCACATGTACGGACTTCAAAACAAACTTCAAACGAGCCGGCAACGCGTGGTTGTAATGTGTTTTGCGATATCGGCTCCAATTGACTCATTGGATTGAAAGGTTTATACCACATCAGACCTATACAGAGTGTCTGTAAAAGGTCTTTACAAAAAAATACCACATATTCCTCAGACCAAAATAAGTCGATTTAAGTAAAATTACCTCAGAACAAAGTTGCATCGATTGGGCTCCAGAGGGCCTTGAAGTTACAATTTTTAAATCGTTTTTCCATATAAATTTTAAACGGCATATGCGATTTTGCTGAAAATTGATACATTGATAGAGTTTTATGTGGCAAAAAAATGGTGTTTAATTTTTGTCCGATACTAATCCATAGGCGTAGAACTTGATATTTTTTCAATAATTGCACCTTTAACAATTCTACGCCAATGGAATAAAAGGAGTTTGAGTATGAAATTTAGATTGCGCAACTCATTTACTTTAAAATAGGTACTCTTGATAAGACTCGATTATCACTCTCATGGTTTTCGCTAAATTTCTGTTTTAATAATTTAGAGTGTATAGTTTTCACGAAAATATTTATTTACAACATAATCAAAATAAATAGAGATTTTACAAAACTTGTTCAAAATGTTCACCATTTTCACGCATACAAAGTTACAAAGATTTATACGTCGAAGAAAATTAATAATAATAAATAGGTGTAGAACTTGATTTTTTAAATAATTGCACCTTTAAAAATTCTACACCAATGGCAGAAAAGGGGTATTTGAGTATGAAATTTGGATTGGGTACTCATTTACTACAAAGAAGTACCCTTGATAACACTCGATTTACTCTCATGGTTTTGACAAAGTTTGTATTAAAATATTTATTGTTTATGTTCTAAAATTACTAAAATGCAAATTTCGTCAAAACCATGAGAGCAATTGAGTCTTATCAAGAGTACCTTTTTTAAAGTAAATGAGTTGCGCAATCTAAATTTCATACTCAAACTCCTTTTCTTCTATTGGCGTAGAATTTTTAAAGGTGCAATTATTTAAAAAATCAAGTTTTACGCCTATGTATTATTATCGGACAAAATTTTAACACCATCTTTTTTGCCACATAAAACTCTATCAATATACCAAATTTCAGCAAAATCGCATATGCCGTTTCAAATTATATGGGAAAAACGATTTAAAAATTGTAACTTCAAGGCCCTCTGGAGCCCAAACGATGCAACTTTGTACTAAGGTAATTTTACTCAAATCGACTTATTTTGGTTTAAGGAATATGTGGTATGTTTTTGTAAAGACCTTTTACAGACACCCTGTATAATCCAGGGGATAATATAGATCTATGGACTATACCTCTTGTGAGTCTGCTGTTATATTCTCTCATCATACTTGTATAGGTAATTTTCTTTGATCTGGTATCCCTGGCTGCCCTGGGTTTCACATGGTTGACAGCTTTCATGAATGCAACCATGAAGGGTTGTATTTCATCTTCAGCTTTCACGGTGATGAGCCCCAGATCTTCAGGTCTTATTTCGTGACCTCGAAAGAAATAATTAAAATAGTTTGACAAACGAAAATACGTATCTGTGAATATTACGATTTGGTAAATGAGGGAAATCTGGAATATTTTTGCCGTTATTTTAGAAAACTTACAATATTGATTACTTCGATAACTCTAGGGGTGGTTATGAGGCCGTGCGTATATGCCCTTAAAATTTCGTGGGCAATAGATATATTCGCGTTTGTTATATTCAATTATATCTCACCTCTGTTAACCTAACAAGAATTTTCGCTAATTGAAACGTTGGGATATAGAGAAGTGGCAATAATTGTTTAAAAAGAGTCTAGACTACTTTATAGAAAATGTCGCAACTCTTATTGCAGACGTTATTTAGAAAGTGCTATCAAAATTCATGTGCGGCATGTTTTATGAAGAATACTGTACTTGTTTTCATTACTCTCAGCTCATCTGTACAGAGAATTTACATTATAGGTCTATTTATAGCCAAGAAATCAAAATTACCCATTAAGCTGTATACATTAACGTAAGTTATTCAAAACATGAATGTTCCGTATTCGATCGGCTCCAGTACTTGGAACCAAAGATGAACAATTCAAAACCTGTATAACTATGCAAGTGACGACGCTTCAAAGTATTATCTAAATATCTGCCTGCCGGGAATAATGTATGTGTATGGCATTATACTGCAAAAACTACAAGCATAATATACTTACTTCATAGGTTAATCGTAAATAATAGTGGATTATAAACCCAGGGACACTTAATCCTGATGCGACACGTTTGTAAAAATAAAATAATTGAAAAAATAACTAAAGGCAGTAGTACTCTCGAACTCGTAGCGGTACCTACTCTAGTTCCAGAATGTCAACTTTGCTGACTGGCGTTTGAAAAAAATGCCATTATTTACTTTCAATCCCTGAGGGATCAAAATCAAAAGTGCAACTTCATTCCATTAAATGAGTGATTGAGTAGGTACTATTTATTCCCAGAAGTGAGAAATTTTACATAAATATAAAAAATATTCAAATAAATAACTTTATTAGAATGAAGGTATGTAAAGTATTGGTGGAGTGGTAATGATTTTTATGAAGCAAGGGATACTGAGTAATTTCTTAAACTTGACAAAATATTTATTTCATTTCAATATTTTCATCTCATTCAAATCAACAACTATCACTTATAACAGCTAATAAGTTACTTATCAGTATAATTATTGTCCGTGGTAGTATTTGGTAAAAAATCGGTTATTAGCGTTGATATTTTCAACTGGCTAAAGGCTCAAACTTTTGCGTTTTAAGTATGATACATAATATTATTGATGGTGCATAAAAAATTTTGGTAAATATTATTATAATATTTTCAAAATTTAGGTACCTACTTATGTATATCGTATGTGTATCATTGATAGGTACAGGATGATTTTATGTAAAATTAATTGTCCCCCTACCTCCCAACTAGGGTTTACAATCCCGAAATACCGATACCGGAAATCCCGGGTTCCCAGTGATATTTTTCCATATCGAGGATCATGTGCTCACATGCGATTGGATCCCGGGATTTTCGGGATTAGTTTCGACAGAGGCAATTGATTAACAAGATGATGAGGAAGATAGAATTCCTCTTGCGGGTCTTATGTTACTGAAGAAAAAATATTAGAAACAATGTTGAATGAAGCATTGGAAAACAATGCACCTAATTCGATTGCGTACTGGCTGGAACCGAATTGATATCAAATGTAACAAAGGAATAAATGGCCCATTTCTAAAATGTTTTTTCTTCAGTAACATAAGAGCCTTTAGCCAGTTGAGGATATCAATGCTAATAACCGATTTTTACCAAATTCTCCATTAGACAATAATATATTATACTGAAAAGTAACTATAATTAGCTGTTATGGGTGATAGTTGTTGATTCAAATGAGATGAAAATCTCAAAATAAAATAGATATTTTGTCAAATTGAAGAAATTAGTCAGTATCTCTTGCTTGATAAAAATCATTACCACCACTCCACCAATAATTGACATACCTTCAATCTAATGAAATTATTTATTCAATTATTTTATATATTTATATGCAATTTCCCGAAGCACCTCAGGGAATAAATAGTACCTATACTTAATAACTCATTTAATGGACTGAAGTTGCACTTTCAATTTTGATCCCGGACAAATAGTGTTTGCGGACGAAAAGTTAGTGTCTGCGGACGAAAAATACTTGCCTTCGGAAATGATCGGTTCTTCGTTTATGTGATTTTTTGTAGAGATCCACGAAAAAATATTTTTTTGTGTTGATATACGAGAATTAATGCATTCATCATTAGTTATCTACAATATTTCCCATACTTTTTTCGAATTCAAATTTCGATTCCAAAATCCTCGGATCCCGGGTCGTCTGAATTTGATCCCGGGAACCTGGGTTTGTATTGTTACGACCCTGGCGATCAATCCCAGCTACCTGCGATGAATGTGTAAACAAGCCATATTTCTTGGAATAGTAATTAGGTGATTCGACGGCTATTGAGATGACTCGAGAAGATTATCGACCTGTTCACGATATTTCGAGTGGAATCTAGTTGTTTTATTAGGTAGTATAAATAGTTGTTGTTAGGGACAGGAAGAGAAGTCTTTATTTGGAAGCGTTATAATAACGATCGAAGAAGTGTTGTGAATCGGAAGTGTTTAGTACGAGTATTGTTATTATTGTATAGTAGTGTTCAGAATAAATCGTTTTAAGTGTTCTACCGAGTGTTAAATTATTACGGACCCAGAGTAAAATCGTAACAGTGGTGTCAGAAGTGTGGATTTTCGAGGACATTTGAATACGTATGGTGAATACAAGGAGTACGTCATACGACACGATGGAAGACATTATAAAATTCATGAAAAATCAGTTCGCAGAACTAGAGACACGACGACAGGAAGATGAGAAACGTCGTCAAGAAGAGTTACAGAAAATTCTAGAACATCAAGAAAAAGAACGAGAACATCAGAAAATCTTCTTCGAACAAATTCTGCATAAAACTGATAAGCAAATGGATGTCACCAGAATTGATGACAAGCTTAACCAGGAAGTTTCAAGAATAGATTCCATGCTCGATGCAATCGAAAGAAATGTAGCGAATCAGATCACCTCGCTACGAAGTCAAGATCGCCGTGACAGAGTTGCCACATCGGGTTCTTCCGTGAAACCACCAACTTTTGATGGACAGTCGCCTTGGTCTATGTATCGCCGACAATTTGAGGCTGCAGCAAGTGCAAATGGGTGGAGTGACGAGGAAAAAGCTACTGCACTCATAGTAGCTCTGAGAGGACCAGCTTTGGGAATGTTACAGTCGATCCCAGTTGAACAACAAAACCACTTCGGAGATTTAGTGGCTGCGCTAGAACTCAGGTATGGTGACCAACATCGAGAACAGCTTTACCGGGCTCAGATGAAAAATCGTGTGCAGAAGTCTGGAGAGAGCCTACAGGAGTTCGAAGCAGATGTGAGAAGACTGACTCAATTAGCCTACTCAGAGGCACCAGAGGACTTCAAAGAACAACTGGCGGTGCAGGTATTCATCGACGGGCTGAGAGACTCAGAAATACAGAAGACTCTGAGGCTTACACACTTTAAGAGGAGTGGTGAAGCCCTAGTAAGATCTCTGGAGGTAGAAGCGGCCTTCAACACCTCTAGGCCAAAAGTGAGAGCTGTGTCCATCGAGGAGCCTTCCGAAGACGTGGACCCAGTGGCGAAAATGTTGAGAAAAGTGCTTGAGGAACTCAAAGAAATTAAGAGTGGGTCTAGTAACCAGCGAAATAGATCCTGCTATCGCTGTGGCAGAACTGGACACCTGATAAGGGACTGTAAGGTGAGAGTACCACCACGATCTTCTTCACCTGCAAGGACGCCATCACGGTCGTACTCACCTGCGAGGACTAGGTCATCTAGTGAGTCCTCAGATAGATACCAGGAAAACTAGAACTAGCCAGCGTATCGGGGCGCATGCTGGCTAGTAATAACGAAGCCCCCAGGGTCATTAACATCAACAGGATAAGAAGAACAACTGATAGCCTGACCATCAAAGGAAAAATCAACCAAATGGATGTAACCTGCACCATAGATACCGGTGCATCAGTTTCTCTGGTACGCAGTGACATTCTCCGGCCTGGAAGTATAAAACCAACCACTTCCAACTTTGTTCTTCGTACGGTCACTGGAGAAAATGCACCAATACGAGGGATGGCTGATATTGAGTTGACGCTTGGAAGACTCCATATAATGAACATGGTATACGTCGCAGATATCGAAGATGAGTTTATCCTCGGCATGGATCTGATAAGTGACTACGGGTTTTCATTCGACAGTGATCAGAAGACCATGAAATTTGGAGGAGAAGAGTTTGTACTAACGACACCAGCCGAGAGGGAGACGTCTGTGAGGCTACGACTAGCGAAGACTGTGAGAATTCCTGGATTCACTGAGAAGATCATCCATGCGCGATTAGAAGAGAACCCTGGGTGCTGCGTTGGATTAGTACAGTCATGTGAGGAATCCCCCAGCAAGCTGTTACTTGCCCGAGCTTTAGTGACCACCGAACGAGACATTCCTGTGAGGGTAGCAAATGTTTTACCTACCACCATAACAGTAAGGGAAGGAGATATTATCGGAGCTTGTGAACCAGTCAGTTGGGTAGCAAAATGTGATAAGACTAACGAGCAGAGATGGAGGGAACGAGATGACAGTGCATTGAAAGTTCTGGAAACCTCCTTGGACCACTTATCACCAACAGAATATAAAGCTGTCAAGAAATTCATAGCAGACGAAAGTGATATCTTTGAATCAACATCAACAGGGCGGACGAACTTGGTCAAGCACAGAATAGATACTGGTAAAGCTCACCCAATTCGGCAACCACCAAGAAGAATGTCATTTGCTAAGCAACAGGAGGTGGAAC